GAGGCGCAAGAGAGACCCAAGACAGCGCAAGAGCGCTCCAAGAGGAACCTCCATGGTCTGAAGACGGCCCAAGAGGCCCCCAAGACACCCCAAGAGGCCATTAAGAGAGCCCCGAAGAAGCCAAAATCGTCATATTCCCTCAGGAAATACATTTGTTGTGCATATCCGCTTTTGGGGTCTTCGCAGCGTCCAAGACGGCCCAATGGGCCCCCAATCTCGCCCCAAGACGGCCCGGGATGCCCCCTAGAGGGGTTGAAGGCCGCCCAGGGGGGCCCCAAGACTGCCCCAGAGAGCCTCGAGATTGCCCACAAGAAGCCCAAGATGACCCCAAAGGCTCCCAAGAGAGACCCACGAAAGCCATGGGATACCTCCAAGAACGCCACTGGAGGCCCGCAAGAGGGCCCTAGATGGCTTCAGAAGACCTCTGGAGGGCCTCAGCTCCCCAAGGCGGCCCAAGAAGCCCCCAGGACGGCCCAAGAGTGCCCCAGGACGGCACAAAAGAGCACCAAAAACGACCAGACGGCGTTCTCCTACGAAATACATCAAGCTGACCCGACGATCTTGGTTCCACGTTTGAGGCTCGGGGTTTCAGTAGTTACCCGATCGAGAGAGACAGGCAATGGATCTAGATTCGAAATTCGACGATCGAAGATTTCCTGAGTGCCTGGAGCCCTCCAGGCATTCGGGAAACGATCAAAAATCGATGTGTTCGGAGCTACTGTGACTTCTTCGGCGTGTCATGGGAGCGCTCCTTACTTCCTCAAAGGACCTTCGCGCGCGAAAAAAACAGCATGATTTCCCCACTCCTGCGCACAAGCGTGCCAGCGCATCGTCCGAAAGCGGTGTCAGCAGGCACCCGGGATATCGGAAAATTGGGCGGGTCGCCCGTCCAGGCCTCGAGGTCTTCCTTGCTGAAGAAAGCGATGATTTATTGCTTTGCCAGGGAAGCGTCCGGAACAAGGCGCATGGCGCGAAGCGCCAATGTGACCATACCATCTGGGGGGGGGGGGCCCGAGGAATCCTTGGACCATACCATCTGGGGGAAGGGGCCCGTGAACCCTCGACCCTGAATCATATATAGACATTTGTATATGTATACGTGTAAATACATGTAACTTCATATATTCCTCTTCCTATATTTTTGCAAGCCCCGGCGGGGGGAAAATCCGTCACCCCCCCCCAAAAAAAACCGGGCTCCCGAGATCTGAGGCTCTGGGACCCTCCGGACGGGCCTCGAAGCGGCCCCCCGGGCCTCGCAGGGCGTTTTGCCAAGCCTTCCCAACACACCTAGGGCGATCAGGGGGGTCATCGGAGACGCCCCAGAGACCCCCAAGACAGCACAAGAGCGCTCCAAGAGTGACCGACGTGACCTCAAGATGGCCCAAGAGGCCTCCAGGACGGCCCCAAAGAGGCCTCCAAGAGCACTCCCAAGAAGGCCCCAAGAGGCAAAACTCATTAGTTTTCTGTGGGTTTTTGGTGAATTTGGGGGTTCTCCTCTTTTCGGCTTCCCGACGCTCCGAGACGGCGGTTTTCTGGGCGTCCGAAGCCGCCTGGGAGGCTCCAAAATCGCTCCACAAACATCCGAAAGGGCTTCCAGGCAGTCCAAGAGAGCCCCAAAACGGCACAACACGGGTCCAAGATGGCCCTCAGAGAGCCCCATGGCGGCCCAAGATGGTTCCAAGACACCCTCCGAAGCATTCCAAATCGTGACCCGGTCGTTCAGGGAGACCGCGGTTGGAGGCAGGGTGGCCCGAGGAAGCCCCCAGAGGCCCCCAGAATACACCCAGGAGGGTTCCTGAAAGCATTAAGAAAGCCTGAAACAATGTTTGTGACGCCCCCAGAGGCTCTCCAAGGAGGAGCCTCCACAATAAAGAGCTGAGGAGGATGGGGAGAATGCGCAGGGTATTGCGAAAATGAGGAAAAGAAGCATGGAGGAAGGATAATGAATCACATTATTATAGCGGCAATGCCGGAAAAGGCAATAAGGAGTTATCGCTAAATTGTCGGCTTGACCTTCCTGCAATTCCGCCTGCATGCCACACTTCCAGGACCAAGGTGCATGGCGCGAAGCGCCACTGCAGTATATATACATATACACACACACACATATATATATATATATATATATATACATATCCCTGGACCAGGGCGGGGGGAGCCCGACGCGCCATGGGGGTGTCGGGGCACCAGAGACGCTTCCAGACCGCCCAAGACAGCCCCAACACAGATGAAAAGGACCGCAAGAGGCCTCCGGGAGGCCTACTATGCGAGAGGCCTCCAGGAGGCCTATTATCGCGGAGGTATCGTTCTAACACGCCCAAGATGGCCTCCGGATGGCCCGCACTCCCAAAAGGGCCCCAAGAAGCCAAAATCACTCATCTTCCTACGGTTTTTGGTACATTTTAGCGTTTCAGCCTTTTGGCATCCCGACGCTCCAAGACGGCCCAAGAGGCCCCCAAGACCGTTCCACGATAGCCGAAGAGGCCTCCAAGAGGGCCTCAAGACGGCCCACGAGGCCCCAAGACGGTGCCCTAGGCGCCCAAGACGGCCCGAGAGAGCCCCAAGACGGTCCCAAGAGAGGCCCACGGATGGGAACGCGAACCCAACAGCAGAGTCTTGCGCCCTAAGAGGCCCAGAGAAGGCCCGAAGAGTCCCCAAGTGGTCCGACGAGGCCCCCAAAGCCTCCCAAGTGGCTCCAAAAGGCCCCAAGGAGACGTACACGGGGCCCCAAGATTGCCCAACAGTGCCCTCGATGCTTCAAAATTGTCTGCAGGAGGCCCCTGGGAGGCTTCCGGATTGCCTCAGTGTGGCCTCAGGCACCCTCTCAAGTCGGGCCTCCACGCAGCCAAGACGGCCAATGACGGCTTCAGATTGCAAAACATCACCTTCCGATTGCCCGGAGAACCCCGACGATGCTCCTAAGGGATCCCAAGAAGCCCCAAGACGCCCCCCCAAGAAGCACCCAAGAGGTGCCTCCAACAGCAATGTGAGGAAGCATGGAGAACACCCCAGAAGCCCTTCAGATGCCCCCACGAAGACCCAAGAGGTCCCCAAGAAACCCTCAGGAGGCACGACTATGTCACGCGCTTGTGCTTGATTGCGCTGTCCAAGATCTTCCAGCGCCCCCCCGGCCTGGGCTAGAACCTGAGCGCGCGCGAAGCGCGCGCGATGGTTCTAGTACATATATATATATATATATATATATATATATATATAAGCGAACCGTCGCGATTCAATTCAATAGGCATGGTCCGTAAAGTGTGGAATATTTTATGCACGTCAGGACTATACTATTGTGCAGCAAGCACGCGTGTTTGTAGCGCGCTGCTACAACACATGTCTTAGATTGTCTTCAGCCCGTTGCTGGTGTTGACAGAGGGTCCTGCTCAACAGCCACGATTTCGACGACTGGTCCCAGTGAAGGGGAGAGCAAGAGTGATTCCGAATAAGGCCTCCCGCTAAATGAGACGATTCGTAAGACCCCCTCTCTATGGGCCAGGAGTTCTAGAACTAACGATCAGGTCCTTAGGGCACGAGACGCGTGGTATTTTATCCAGCTGCGCCGCCGCGCGATCTGCCCCGCGCTCGGGCACGGGCGCGTAGGGGAGGCCTTGGAGTGGGAGAGACGGGGGGAGGGGCCACGGAACCTTTTTTCCGAACACATGTTGGCCTCTGGATGCGTCGGGGAGACCGAACAAGTGCTTCACACAATGATATCAGCTAGGCGTAAGAGTGACCTTTCGCCGGAGTGACCTTTGGTGCGGGCACAGACGGGTCCCCAGATGGTTGAGAGAGAAGCGGTAGCAGCGGCTTGCGCGGTTGTTTTTCGCCTCCCCGCGGTCCCAAAAAGCCGCGCACATAAGGTCATTCTTACCCAGGGTCACTCTTGCGTGTAGCCGATGATAGCGACAGGGCCCGACGCGCACCAACTGATTGCTGCAAGCGCGGTGGCGGATAATTCTGTCGGCGCTGAACCTTGCCCCCACTTTGCGGTAGGCCAGTTTTTCGATTCGAGATGGATATGTTTGGGCGTGTTTTCGGAGCATTGCTCGACCCGAGCCTCAGAGGGACGGGCAGGATGGTACAAAAGAGCCTCTGGGGGGCTCCTGGCTCGGTATCGACGAGATCGGTTCGGGAAGAATGGGCGCGAAGACCGACAGCATTCTTGTTCGTTTTGTTCAGGACTCGCCATCGCTGTCGCCGCAGCCGTCGTCCGTTCAAGAGAGAAGGCAGCCTGCCCACCAGCGGCCACTGTCGGTTTTGGACAGCAGCAGCTGTTGGGCACCGTACACGCTTTTGACATACCCGTTCAGGGCGTCCAAACTTGCGAAGCGCAGGTCCCTGGGCCACCCCTCATCTCATTGCTCCTCGCGAGTGCTCCCCCTCGCAGAAGCAGGCGACATTGGTTCTCTGGGACTGAACCTTAGGTGCTCGATCATGAGACCCCTCGTTGAACGCAACCCTCCAGGGCTCGCGCTGGAGACCGCCAGAAACCGATGAGGTCCGTCAGCAGACCGCCGAAGACCGCCTGAGGCCGATGGGTAACAAGGGGTACGTGGAGCACGGTCGAGGGGCAACGGCCTCTACCTCCTCCTCCTCCTCCTCCTCCTCCTCCTCCTCCTCCTCCTCCTCCTCCTCCCCTCCTCCTCCTCCTCCTCCTCCTCCTCCCTCGTCCTCCTCCTCCTCCTCCTCCTCCTCCTCCTCCTCCTCCTCCTCCTCCTCCTCCTCCACCTCCACCTCCTCCTCCTCCCCCCTCGGGCCGCCTGGGCAAAGAGAATTCAGAGGCACAAAAAGGACCTTCGAAAACGTTTGTGAGACAACGGAAGGGCCTCCAGTAGCAAGAGATACATTCAGAACGTGCCTGCAGTGGCAAGAACAGTGCTTTCAGTGAGCCACACAAAAATATGCCTTCAGTGCGGTTGAGTGCGCAGTGCATCCGACCGCGCACGCCGGCCGAAACTCGCAGTCCTGTCGCAAAAGCAGCCCCGCCGTGCCCCGAGGACGAGCCCGCGCCGCCAGAGGCGCCGCGGCTGGCTGCCGAGGGGCCCGCGGAGCTTGCGGCTGGCGCAGCCGCGGGCCAGCCGGACTTTCGGTCCCAGCCTCTGGGCCTCCCAGAGGGGGCTTCCCGACGCCCCTCGAGTCATCAACACTCACGGCGGGAGGTTTTCCGCTATGTTCGGCTTCTGGGGGCCCTTGCGGGGCCTCGGGACCGTCAAGACATGATTCAGGACGAAAAAACAGTCTTGGGGAATGGGTCGGACGCAGGTCGACGTTCGGGGGTCGGGATTCTATGCTTTCCAGATGGGGTTCGAGCAGATGGGGTCGGAGGAGCGCGCCGCATCGCCAACGCATCGGCGATGAGGCTCGATGTGGAGCCCGAGTGGCGATGCATCGCCAATGCGGCGCAAGGGTTGCACACAGAAAGCCTGTGTAGATACAGAAGCCACGTCAAGCAAGAAATCGGAGGGGGTTGGACTTTGGGGCCCCCTCGTCGCCACGGCTGGACACAGCTCGGAAAACTGGTGCCTTTGGCCCGGGGGAGGCGTTTGGGGACCGATTCTGAGGTGTTACTGTCTCCATTCGCCCGCCTCCGACAGCAGGTGCCACACGGACGGTGCTTCTCCCTCGGTGGCCGTAGGGGCACACAGAAGTCGGAGGTTGACAGACCTCCTACCTTGACACGTCGATTAGCGAACTGGCCGTTTTCGGTTGTCATTTTTGCGGGTCCAGGTCCGTCGGTTTCGGTCCCAGGCCGTTTTCACTAAAGGGAGGTTTACTAAAGGGAGGTTTGTCCACCGCCGAAGAAGACCCCAGGGGCACCTCAGGGAGCTCAAGAGCTCGACGTCCAGCGTGCCCTAGCATCTCTTGACGCGAGGCTTCCTACTGTGGGCATGTGCTGTGCGGTGGATACCCATGCCAAGAAACACCCTGCTTGCCTCAAGGGTGCCCTGGGCTTCTTGGGATTCGCTGGTTTTGCAACGGAGAGCGTGGCGCTCCCACACCAAAATCCATGGACGCCCTGGGGTCTCGGGGTTGGGCTTCTTGTGGAAGGTTTCCTGTGGTCGGGCCCCTGCTGTAGTCCAGGCTGGTCTCCAGAGGCACACGGGGTGAGCCCTGAGCGGTCTCCACGGCCCGGCGCCGCCTCTGGCGGCGCCCCCCCGGGCGCCTGCGCGCCCGGCGGCCGGGGCGTGTCGCGGCCGCCGCGGGCTGCTTCGGCGGCCTGTTCCGGCCAGTCTGTGCGCAGCCGCAGGCGCCGCCAACCCAGACCCCCTCGAGTCATGAAAAAATCACGACGCGAGGTTTTTCGCTATTTTCGGCCTCTGGGGACCCTTCCCGGCCCTCAGCACCGTCAAAAAACGACTCAGGATGAAAAGCCGGTCCTGGGAAACGGGTCCGGACCTCTGGGGGTCGCGTCATGAAAAAATCATGACGTCGGGGGTCTGGGAACGTCCCTCGTCCATCCTCTCCACTTCGCAGTCTGGTGCCAGACGAGAGGTTCGGACTGCAGTGCGCGCCGTCCCAGATCGGTCGGCCCGCCGCTCGCTGATGGCCGAACGGTTTGTTTTTGGCCTGCAGGTGCCTGCCCGGCGATCGGGGATGCATCCGCGCTGTATCGACGACCCTTCGGTTGGCCCCCACTGAAGGCTCTCCCGCCTATGGACTGTTCCTGGGACGAGAGACGGGCTTCCAAAGGCCAAGCGTTTGGAAAGATCGGCCGTCACGATTTGTTCGTGACGCTGGTCTTAGGGCTGAACTTACGACCCACGGACTTGCCCCATGGGTGCACTCGGACACGGCCGCGGCAACGAAGGCGCCCCAGTGGGCCCCAAAAAACGCTCACGGACCTCGATCCTCGAGGCATGGGTTTCCTCCCTCTTCCTCGGGGGGAGGGGACAGGGGGAGGAGGAGGAGGAGGAGGAGGAGGAGGAGGAGGAGGAGGAGGCGGCGGAGAGAACATCCATCAAGAACACGAGACCAGTCCTCGAGGCATGGGTTTCCTCCCTCTTCCTCCCGAACCCGTCCCGGAGCGTCTTCTGGCCAGAATCCCGAGGCGAGTCTAATTATTCACGGACGCCCCTGGAGGCCCGAGAGAGGCCCAAAGACTTGCAGAGATTCGGGTTATGGAGCCTCGAGGCCCGGGTGTCATCCATGCTCCCTCCCCTCCCTCTTTCTATTCTGATCCGGGAAGCCGCGAGGGCGCTGCGAAGCGCAAAGTCGCGGGGCCAACAAGACGATACATTTGCGAGTGGGGGCGGCAAAGAGGGGGGGAGGACTAGAAGGGGGGGATATCATGGCGGGGGCCAGGATATCTCCCCAGATTTCATGGCCGGTCTTCTTACTTCAATACGTCCCTGCCCCCCCCCTTGGGCCGCGCACATGCCGCTGGCCATGATTTGCGCCCCCCCCTCTTGGACGCCCCCCCTCCTGGCCGCCACCGATGTGAGGGGCTCTGGGCCGGCAAGTCGCTGGGCCGACAAGGCGGGAGGAGGGAGGACGTGAACGAGGAGGAGGAGGAGGAGGAGGAGGACGAAGAGGAGGAGGAGGAGGAGAAAGGAGGAGGAAGGAGGAAGGAGGAGGGAGTAGAGGAGGAGGAGGACGACGAGGAGGAGAAGGGAGGAGCAGGAAGGAGGACGAGGAGGAGGAAGGAGGACGAGGAGGACGAAGAGGACAAGGAGGACGAGGAGGAGGAGAAGGAAGGACGAGGAGGAGGAGGAAGGAGGAAGGAGGAGGAAGAGGAGGACGAGGAGGATGAGGAGGACGAGGAGGAGAAGGGAGGAGGAGGAAGGAGGACGAGGAGAAGGAGGACGAGGAGGACGAGGAGGAGGAGGAGGACGAGGAGGAGGAGGAGGACGAGGACGAGGACGAGGACGAGGACGAGGACGAGGAGGAGGAGGAGGAAGGAGGAAGGAGGAGGGAGGAGGGAGGCGGAGGAGGAGGACGAGGAGGAGGAGGAGAAAGGAGGAAGGAGGAGGAAGGACCCAGCGGACCCAGCGCCGACCTTAGAGGGACGCGGGACGAGGGTGTTGGTCGTCCAACGAAGCGATTTTCCCGGAAAGGCGCGAAGGTCGGCGCGAAGGGGTCCGCGGCCCCTCCACCTCCGCCCCTTTCCGGGAAAATGTGTAGACATAGTGCCAGGGAGAGGGGTCCAACGCCGGTCCGAGGAAATCCGAGCGGACCTCGGGAGGTCGAGGAAACGCAAACATGGATTCAGGCGCGTGGGCTAAAGGCGAGCTCCGCTTCCGCGCAGAAATCGACGCGGCCCGTCGCCAAACGGGGCGGCGCCGGCCTCCCCCCACGCCCGCGTGCCAGATCCACGGATCTCTAGCCCACGTTCTGTAGCACACGTTCCGGTGATCCGCATCGGCCCCGGGCTTCTCTTGCGGCACGGCCGTGCGGAGGACACCTGCGCGTGGGGCAGCTCCCTCGCGTACTGCTCGCCGCCGGGCTCTCCGCGCGGGGGCTCGCGCCAGCCGCGAGGGCGCCAGGACCCCATCGTGGCCTTCTCGTCCCCCGCCCTATTCCTCTGCTTTGGCTTCGGCTGCAGCTTCAGACATGGGCGCCCCCCCCCTCCCCCGCCCGCCCTCCCGCCCTCCTCCCGTCCCGCCTTCCCTCCTCTTCCCCCTCTCCTCCTCCTCTTCATTTTTCTTCTCCTCATCATCCTCCTCATCTTCCTCCTCCTTCTCCTCCTCCTCCGTTTCCCCAAGATCAGAAACGACACCCTGGGTCTACCATGTCATCACAACCAGACATGATCGGCCCACGAACCCGGAAAGGGATTATATGTAAGGCATGGCAGCGTTTTCAAGACATTTGATGAGGCGACGGGCAATTGCAATGCTCAGTGTATCGATCTTGACGTACCGTGCCAAGGGTTGTGCTGTGTTGCGCCGTGCTGACTTGCGATGTGCCGTGTCGCGATTGTGCTCTATAGCGTTGTGGATCGAGTCCCCCTTTGAATCCGAGTCCTGACCGAACTAAGCTGGATCCTAAGCTCGCAGGGGAAGAGGAAGAGGGGAGCAGGAGGAGGGGGGTGAGGAGCCACACGTCCCTCTCCCCCTGCTCCCGTCGCCCCTTTCCTGCTCATCATCCTCGTATAAGTCCTCTTCCTCCTTCTCCTCCTCCTCCTCCTCCTCCTCCTCCTCCTCCTCCTCCTCGTCCTCCTCCTCGTGCTTTTCCCAGAGAAGGAGGACGAGGAGGAGGCGAAATGATAGGACGAGGCTGACGAGTAATATGAGGAAGAGGGGGAGGAGCAGGAGAAAGCGGAGGTTGCGGAGTCACTCCAAATATTGTTTCATTACCGTCGTTTCCTTCATGTTCCTAATCTTCATCTTTCAATCCCTCATTGCACAAAGCATCATCCTCGCATCTCTCCCGTGGGAGGATGACGAGGAGGGTGTGGTTAGAGGATTGTGAGTGACATGGGTGTGGTTGGAGGATTGTGAGTGACATGGTCAAGGAGAGGAGCAAGAGGAGGTTGAGAAACCGCTTCTGGTGTTCATCTTCTTGCTCCCATTAATTATATGCTTCCTCCATTTCATCCTCCTACCGCTCGCCTTCCATTCATCACTCATGCTCGTCGTCACGCCTCTTGTGGGAGGAGATGAACGAGGGAGAGGGAGATGGAGGAGCAGGATGGGAAGGATGAGGAGGATATTAATGACCAGGATGACCACGATGAGCATTTTGATGAGGCACTCCTCATCCTGCTCCTCCTCATCCTCCCCATCCTCCTCCACCATCCTCGTCAGTCTCCCCCTTCCTCCTCCCATGAGAAAGATATGATGATGACGGGCATGAGCAGTATAACGAAGGTGATATGGACACTTGATCGCAGCAGCAAGATGAGGAGTAGTGGCGCATCAACCGCCTCCTCATCTGCCTCCCACCCCCCCTCCGCTATCACCCCTGCTATCACTCCTCAGCCCATATTCCTGCCTCATCCTCCTTGTCGGCGCCGTCTTCCCCCTTCCTCCTTCTCATACCACTACCCTCCCCCCAGAAGGGACACATGATGGATTGATCGAATGATGGTGATGAAGACGATGTTGATGATGGTGACGACGATGATATTACCGATGGTGATGGTGGTGATGAAACTGTTGTTGTTGATGATGTTGATGATGGAATGGTGGTGGTGATGATGGTGAGGATGTTGGTCGTCATGGTGATGCGGAGCATGATTCGAGATGATGGCGGCAGAAGGGAAGGTGGAGGATCAGAAGGAGGCGCAGGAGGAGTTGCCCCACTCCTGATGTTCTCCCCGTCCCCGTTGTTCTCCTCGACCATCTCCTCCCTCCTCACTGTCTTATCCCCCATCCCCCTCCTCTTACAACCCCCCGCCCCCTCATCCGATCGCGTCTCTTCATCAGTTCATCCTCATCTTCATCCATCTCCCCCCCCCCCCGCCTCCCCTCTTGTAGGACAGGAGTGGAGGGGCGGGAGGATGGCCAGGAGTCAACGATGCTGCAGCATGAGGGCCAGCAGGATGAAGAGGAGGTGAAGGAGGAGGAGCGATGGGAGAAGGAAGAGGAGAATAAGGAGGAGGAGGGGAGGGATGAGGGTGGGAGGAAGGAGGGGGAATGAGGCAGCATGGAGGATCAGGAGGAGGAGGGCGACGACGAGAACGGAGGAAGAAAGGAGGGCGACGTCAGGATCGACAGCGGGACGATGAGGAGGAGGATAACGATGGCCAGACGCGTCAACGATGTTGCAATACACCTTTCCTCCAAGTTCCTTCCTCGTAGGTCCCTGCACGTTTTTGTCAATGCGGGACGCCCCCGATTACAAAGACCGCCGATCGAGAATTCTGAATCGCACCCAAAACACAACTCCTGGGACTTCAGCGCCGCGACACAACGCCACTGTCGCGCCCTGACAATCCGGAGTCGTGCCCGGACACCGCACCGGGGACTTCCACACCACGAATCGGTGTGACGATTCCGCTCTGGCAATCTAAACCGTGCTAGAACACCGTTCCTGGGACTTCAACCATTCGAGCATTTGGAAGCTGGTGCAAACTTACGAATTTGCGCGGCGCTCAGGCGAGAGCAGCATTTTGAACAGGAACCGCCCCTCATCCTCGAAAAGACAAAACGATAAAACGATAACACTAGTTTGATAACGACCCCCCTGCATGTCTGAAGCTGTCGCAATTCTTAAAATGCGCATGCGCGGCGCCGATGCAAGAGCCACATGTTTGGGAAAGGCCAGCCCTCCATGTGAAGCGGCTGCAGACGTGAAAGGCGAGCGTGCGCGGCGTCAGGGCGAGGGCCACATGTTCCAAAGATCCACCCTTTCCAGGGCGAATGCTCGCAGCGATCTAGGCGAGAGCTACGATTCGAAAGCCACCCGCCATCCATCGGTAGCACTGCTGCAAGATTCGAGCTTCAAGATCATGTACGGTTGGGAAGTCTGAGGTGGAACGCCTGGCCCGCCCTGCCGACGCAGTTTGGAGGTGAGGCTGCGTGAAGATCGGGAGCAAGACGAGGATGCGCATGACGATGACCAGGGGGAGGGGGTATGAAGGCCACGAGCGCAAGGAAGGGGATAAGGAGGAAGATGATCTGGATAAGGACGATGCTGCATCAATAGGGCAAGGACAATAATGGGGAGGATGCGGATCGGGACGAGGATGAGGTTGATGATGGGGAGGATGAGGAGGAAGATGATCAGGAGGAGGGGGAGGAGCAGGAAGGATGGTCTAGCGAACTCGAACGACATCGTCGCAAAGACAATCCATCATCATCATGTCTGAGAGTTTGCCATTTTCCAGGTCACCCCCGTCACCCCCGAACCGAGTTTCCACCGCTCAGTGCCACCGATCGCACGCAGCCTATGTCGGCCTGGCTACACCGCTTGCGTCGGATTGAGCGGCTCTGGTGGACAAGCACGCGTTGACGCCAACATGGGGAAACACAAAATGTGTAAACATAGCGGCAGGGAGGGGGGACGAGGGGGTCCAACGCCGGTCCGAGGAAATCCGAGCGGACCTCGGGAGGTCGAGGAAACGCAAACATGGATTCAGGCGCGTGGGCTAAAGGCGAGCTCCGCTTCCGCGCAGAAATCGACGCGGCCCGTCGCCAAACGGGGCGGCGCCGGCCTCCCCCCACGCCCGCGTGCCAGATCCACGGATCTCTAGCCCACGTTCTGTAGCACACGTTCCGGTGATCCGCATCGGCCCCGGGCTTCTCTTGCGGCACGGCCGTGCGGAGGACACCTGCGCGTGGGGCAGCTCCCTCGCGTACTGCTCGCCGCCGGGCTCTCCGCGCGGGGGCTCGCGCCAGCCGCGAGGGCGCCAGGACCCCATCGTGGCCTTCTCGTCCCCCGCCCTATTCCTCTGCTTTGGCTTCGGCTGCAGCTTCAGACATGGGCGCCCCCCTCCTCCCCCGCCCGCCCTCCCGCCCTCCTCCCGTCCCGCCTTCCCTCCTCTGCCCCTTCTCCTCCTCCTCTTCCTTTTTCTCCTCCTCATCATCCTCCTCCTCATCTTCCTCCTCCTCCTTTTCCTCCTCCTCATTCGCCTTCTCTTTCTCCTCCTCGTCCTCCTCCTCCAACTCCTCCTCGTCCTCCTCCTCCTCCTCCTCCTCCTCCCTCCTCCTCCTCCTCCTCCTCCTCCTCCTCCTCTCCTCCTCCCCTCCCTCTTCCTCCACCTCCTCCTCCTCCCACTCCTCCTTCCTCCTCCTCCTCACCCCCCAGGATCAGGCACGACGCCTGGGTCCACTCCTCCTCCTTCTCCTCCTCCTCTCCTCCTCCTCCTCCTCCTCCTCCTTCTTCCCCCTCTTCCTCCACCTCCTCCTCCTCCTCCTCCTTCTCCACCTCCTCCTCCTCCTCCGCCCCCCCAGGATCAGGCACGACGCCCTGGGTCCAACATGTCATCACAATCAGAAACATGTCGACCGCGTTGAGAATTCCTTGGCCAGCGTGCCCTTGCACAGTTTCGATCCGAATTTGCACAATTTCGGGAAAACACCGAAAGAACAACAAAACGCGGACGTCCCCGAATGTGGCGGGGTGCGTTCGAGGGCAAATTCACCAACAACAGAACATGATCGACCCACGAACCCGGAAAGGAATGCAGAAACGCAAGGCATGGCAACGTTTCAAAGACATGTGATTGGGCGACGGGTAAACGCAATGCTCAACGTATCGATCTTGATGTACCGTGCCGAGGGTTGTGTTGTGCTGCGCCGTGCTGGATTGCGATGTGCCATGCCGCGGTTGTGCTCCATAGCGTTGTGGATCGAGTCCTCCTTTGCATCCGAGTCCTGACCGAACTGATCTGGATCTTAAGGTCGAGCTGCCTCAGCAAATAGTAGCTGCCCCAGGGCTAACTGACAGGGGGACCTGCCTGGAGGACGCGCCGCGGAATGTCCCAAGGGACGCGCCAAGCGACGTGCCAGGGGACGTGCCATGCGGACGCACCGCGGGACGTGCCAAGGGGACGCGCTACGGAACGTGCCAATAGCCGTGCCACGGGACGTGCCGGGGGACCCATGTGTGTTCAGGTTTGCCCCGCCCTGGGGCGTCAGGAACCGATGTGGTTTCACGTATCTCCCGCTCTGGGGCGTTCGGGACCCATTTTTGCTGCACGTTTGCCCCGCCCTGGGGCGTTAGGAACCCATGTGTTTTCACACTTGTCCCGCCCTGGGGCGTCAGGAACCGATGTGTGTTCACGCTTCTCGAGTCTGATAGGGGCCTCCTAGGGGCGGGGGCAAGCAAAAAGCGCTCCCCGAACACAGATCCCCATACAGAAAAATACCTCCTTGGGCCGCCTGGGGGGCGGGGGAAGCGAAGAGCGCCCCCCGAACATAGGTCCCATTACAGAACAGTGCCTCCTGGGGCCTCCCTCTGTGAGGCATCCTGGAGCCTCCTGGGGCCTCCTGGGGCGTTCGGAACCTATGTGTGTTTGCGCTTCTTCTCCCGCCCTGGGGCGTTAGGAACACGTGTGTTTTCACGCTTGTCCCGCCCTGGGGCGTCAGGAACCATGTGTTTTCACGCTTGTCCCGCCCTGGAGCGTTAGGAACCATATGTTTTCACGCTTCTCGAGCCTGCTGGGGTCTCCTGGGGGGCCGGGGGGGGAGCGAAAAGCGCTCCCCGAATAATCTCCCAAAATAGAACATACGTTAAACACGCATTTCATTTAAGAAATCCTTTGAATTCTGATCTCCAGGAGAGAAACACTGTGTAACACAAAACGTTTGGCTCGAGACATCCTCAACAAATTCTGAAGAAAACTAGCGTTTCGTTCAGGACATCCTCAAAATTAAAGCACTATATAACACAAAACAAACGCTTCGCTCGAGACATCCTCAACAAATTCTGAAAAATAAGCGTTTCGCTCGGGACGGCCTCAAAAATAATTCCGCTGGCCCTTTTCTCGCTTCGTTCTTTACAACAAATAATTCCGCCGGCCTTCTTCCCGTCGGGCCCGGGGGGAAACCGCTAAAAGAAACCCGTCGGCTCTGGGGGGAAAACAGCTAAAAGAGAGCCCTGGGCTGGCGCCCTTTCCGGGAAAAAATTGTTGTCGCTTCGCGAATCCCCACCAGCCCATCCAGAAACGATGCCCAGAGGAATTGCCTCGATCAGAGAAGTGGGCAGCACACAGAGGAAGCCATTATGAGACATCTTGGGATATCTTGAGCCATCTTGGAGGTCATTTTGGGCTCTCCCAGACGCTCTTGGAGTCATCTTAATCCGTGCCCCCCCCCAAGAGGCCTCCATGTGGCTAAAACCTGTGTAGAATCAATGATTAGGCATTCTCGCCGAGGCCTCTTGGAGCATCTTGGGTGCATCTGGGGGGGCTCTTGGGGCCTCTTGGGGGTCTCTTGGGGGCCTCCGGGGGGCCTCTTGGGGGCCTCTTGGGGCCATTTTGGGGCCATCTTGGGACCTCTTGGGGCTTCCTGGGCGCTTCTTGGGGCCATCTTGGAGGAGATCGATCAAACAAGAGGGGGGGTTTAATTAGCGCCCCCCCTCGGAAGCCCCTAAAATCGCCTCTTGGACCCCTCTTGGAACGCTCTTGGAGTGCTCTTGGGCGCTCTTGGGGCCGTCTTGGGGCTCTTTTGGGGCTCTCTTGGGGCCCTCTTGGGCCATCTTGGAACCATCTCCAGGCCTCGGATGGCCATCGGAAGCGAAAAGGCGAGAAAGCAAAAATCATTGATTTTCCTTAGGTTTTGGGACGATTTTGGCCTCTTCGGGGCCTCCTTGGGGAGCTGTTTGGCCACTTGGAGTTATCTTGGGGCCGTCTTTGGGCTTCTTGGAACCATCTTAGGAGCCATCTCGAGCGATCTTGCGCTATCTTGAGCCATCTTGGAGCTCATCTTGGGTTCTCTGAGGCGCTCTTGGAGCCGTCTTGGGCCATCTGGGACGCTCTAACTACCCGCGGCCCCCCCCGTCCAGGTCCAGGGGAGGGGGTAGGGGGAGGGGTAAACCCCTCCCCAAGGGGGAAGAGGGAGGGGTGGAAGAGGATCTGCTCTAGACCACCTACGCCCAGAGGGCTGGTGGGATTGATTCGACCACCGATGGGTTACCACCAGCGGCCCGCACGCAGGGGTTCCCCCCGGCGCCCGATGCGGCCGCCGAGGGGTTACCACTGGCGGCCCGCACACGAGGGCTCCCCCCTGCCCACGACTCGGCCGCGGATGGTCCATTACCCTTTTAGACCAGACCAGTGTTTCCCCCTGGCGCCCGATGCGGCCGCAGACTGGGTAGCCATTGGTAGCACGGAAAGACAAGGGTTTCCCCTTGCGCCCGATCTCGCAGAGGATGGATTACCAGACCCTCGGGGGGCTCCAGGCATACTTCCAGAGACTTCTGGAAATCTCTGGATGCCCAGGTTCCCTGCATCTCTCCTTCCCTGATTCCTCCTCTTCCCATTCCTCGCATTTGAAAGCGCGTTTTCCGATGCAGCTCTGCTCCCCCTCGTCCACCTTTACCTTCGGAGGCGGGAGATTGAGGAAGAAGAGGAGGAGGAGGAGGAGGAGGAGGAGGAGGACGAGCGGGAGGGGGAGGAGAAGGAAGAGAAGGAGGAGGAGGAGGCAAGGGGCGGAAGGAGGAGGTACGCGAGGCGTGCGACTACGCGGACATCTCTCCACGCCCCTCGCGCTCGCGATCAAGGTTCTCTCAGCCGTGGCGCTCAGCCCATGCCCAGGCAGGCCACACGGGGGGGGGGCCAGGCAGAGGCGCTAGCCCAGAGCCCCCCCCACACACCCCGCGCGACAGAGCGGCCGACGTCGCCCCGCCAGAGGGGACGGCACAGTGCCGCCAGCGCCGCACGTGGGTCCCCAAGACCCCGCCCCTCCTGCAAAGGCTCAACGAAAACGATCTACATCACCGGGCGGCCGTGCTTTCCCGCAATTCCTGGGAATCTTACCCGTGGCCCCACGGGGGCATGGCCCCAGCCTTGCTGGGGTTCGAACCTGTCTGCGAGGATCCGCCCCCAGGCGGCCGAGTGCCCAAGTCCCACCAGCCCTCTGGGCGTAGGTGGTCTAGAACAGATCCTCTTCCACCCCTCCCTCTTCCCCCTTGGGGAGGGGTTTACCCCTCCCCCTACCCCCTCCCCTGGACCTGGACGGGGGGGGCCGCGGGTAGTTAGAGCGTCCGGAAGCGAAAAGGCGAGAAAGCAAAAATCATTGATTTTCCTTAGGTTTTGGGACGATTTTGGCCTCTTCGGGGCTTCCGAGGGGGGGCGCTAATTGAACCCCCCCTCTTGTTTGATCGATCTCCTCCAAGATGGCCCCAAGAAGCGCCCAGGAAGCCCCAAGAGGTCCCAAGATGGCCCCAAAATGGCCCCAAGAGGCCCCCAAGAGGCCCCCCGGAGGCCCCCAAGAGACCCCCAAGAGGCCCCAAGAGCCCCCCCAGATGCACCCAAGATGCTCCAAGAGGCCTCGGCGAGAATGCCTAATCATTGATTCTACACAGGTTTTAGCCACATGGAGGCCTCTTGGGGGGGGGCACGGATTAAGATGACTCCAAGAGCGTCTGGGAGAGCCCAAAATGACCTCCAAGATGGCTCAAGATATCCCAAGATGTCTCATAATGGCTTCCTCTGTGTGCTGCCCACTTCTCTGATCGAGGCAATTCCTCTGGGCATCGTTTCTGGATGGGCTGGTGGGGATTCGCGAAGCGACAACAATTTGCCAGGGCTCGAACCTGACGACGAGGACCCGGCAGGGGTCGGCGGAAGAAACGACAGCCAAGGGGCGGTCTTTCAGAGAACTTACGCCCTCCTTCAGCGACTACGTAGCAGGACGGGGGGAGGAGGGAGAAGGGTGAAGGAGGGCAATGACAGAAAGTCCACGTTGAAAGGGAAATAGTAGACTTCGTGCTGCTTCTGATGGGCCAAGCGGAGCAAAAGAGGTACGCTGTGTTGAATCCAGGGCCGCGCTGCAACTCCCCGAGAGCGGCGGGGGGAGCGGGGGAAGGGTTGGGAAGAACCATTCTCCGGCCCGAGCTGGGCCGAGGGCACGTGCATCATCCAACCTGGCGCTAGCCAGGGACGTTCCACCACCCCCTGAGACTGAAGTGGTGAGGGCGACGAGGAGCTAGACACCCCGTCGTGATCCACTGGCCCCCACCTACCCGGGGTAACGCGAAGAAGAGGGGGGGACTGCCACACCCCCAGGGGCGCCCCTCTGCCCCCCCTTGGCGACGCAGGGCCCGGCCCTTCACGCTTCTGGGTGGAAGCGGGGCGGGCGGGCGACGAGCAGGAGGGCGCAGCAGCAGACGCGGGGGGGGGGGGGGGCGAGAGCCGACTCGAGGGAGGGGGGGGGGGAGAGTCGGCGGCAAGCGAGGGGGGGAAGCGAGAAGGGGGCGGGCCTTGTCCAGAGGCCTCGAAGTTCCCCCCGGCCTTCCGAGAAGTTGCCCAGGCCCTCCCCGAGGGCACCGAGAGCTGCTCACGGGGCGCGAGGGCCTCTGCGAGGTCCGGCCGCCCGCTGAGAAGGCCCTCTCCTTCGCGCAGTCCCCCCTCGCTCGCCGCCGAGGCAGGCGAGGAGGGGGGAAGGAGAGGCGCGAGGGCGGCGCGAGAGGCCCACCAGGAGCCCTGGCAACCTCCAAGAAGGGCCTCTCGTCCCCAAGCCGTTCCCCGGCCCTCGAGGGGAGAGGGGCGAGCGCAGCCCCGCCCTCCGAGGCTCTCCTGGCGGGGCGGGGTGCGCTTCTCCGCGAGTCCCGGGGGTACCCTCTCGACCGAGTCCCTGACAGACCCAAGACACGCTACGTGCCGCTTGCCTCACGCGCGGGGCCAACTGCGAAAGGCGGAGGGAGGAGGGGGAGGAGGAGGCAAGAGAGGAAGAGGAAGAGGAGGAGGAGAAAGAAGTCCCACCAGCCCTCTGGGCGTAGGTGGTCTAGAGCAGATCCTCTTCCACCCCTCCCTCTTCCCCCTTGGGGAGGGGTTTACCCCTCCCATACCCCCTCCCCTGGACCTGGACGGGGGGGGCCGCGGGTAGTTAGAGCGTCCCAGATGGCCCAAGACGGCTCCAAGAGCGCCTCAGAGAACCCAAGATGAGCTCCAAGATGGCTCAAGATAGCGCAAGATCGCTCGAGATGGCTCCTAAGATGGTTCCAAGAAGCCCAAAGACGGCCCCAAGATAACTCCAAGTGGCCAAACAGCTCCCCAAGGAGGCCCCGAAGAGGCCAAAATCGTCCCAAAACCTAAGGAAAATCAATGATTTTTGCTTTCTCGCCTTTTCGCTTCCGATGGCCATCCGAGGCCTGGAGATGGTTCCAAGATGGCCCAAGAGGGCCCCAAGAGAGCCCCAAAAGAGCCCCAAGACGGCCCCAAGAGCGCCCAAGAGCACTCCAAGAGCGTTCCAAGAGGGGTCCAAGAGGCGATTTTAGGGGCTTCCGAGGGGGGACGCTAATTAAACCCCCCCTCTTGTTTGATCGATCTCCTCCAAGATGGCCCCAAGAAGCGCCCAGGAAGCCCCAAGAGGTCCCAAGATGGCCCCAAAATGGCCCCAAGAGGCCCCCAAGAGGCCCCCCGGAGGCCCCCAAGAGACCCCCAAGAGGCCCCAAGAGCCCCCCCAGATGCACCCAAGATGCTCCAAGAGGCCTCGGCGAGAATGCCTAATCATTGATTCTACACAGGTTTTAGCCACATGGAGGCCTCTTGGGGGGGGGCACGGATTAAGATGACTCCAAGAGCGTCTGGGAGAGCCCAAAATGACCTCCAAGATGGCTCAAGATATCCCAAGATGTCTCATAATGGCTTCCTCTGTGTGCTGCCCACTTCTCTGATCGAGGCAATTCCTCTGGGCATCGTTTCTGGATGGGCTGGTGGGGATTCGCGAAGCGACAACAATTGAGGAAGGAGGATGGTGAGCAGGAAGGGGAGGCACGAGGCTGGAAGAGGGAGAAACAGGGGAGGAGGAGGAGGAGGAGGGGGAGGAGGAGGAGGAGGAGGAGGAGGAGGAGAAGGAGGAGGAGGAGGAGAAGGAGAAGAAGAAGGAGGAGGAGGAGGAGGAGGGCAGCAGGAGGAGACGGAGGAGGAGGAGGAGGAGGAGGAGGACGACGAGGAGGAGAAGGAGAGAAGCAGGAGGAGGAAAGGCGGGAGAAAGAGAAGGAGGAGGAGAGAAGGAGGAGGAGGAGGAGGAGGAGGAGGAGAAGAGGGGGGGTAGCTAGGTGCGAGCGCGCCATATCTGACATCCTACCCCCCCTCCCACCCATCCCTTCTCATTGCGATGTTGCTGAAATATCTGCCGACGCGTGTTATAATGGACCTGGAACTCCAAAGAAAGCCTCATCGTGTCATGCGCAATCGGAAGAAAAGGAGCTGCCTACATTTGAGGAGGAGGTGGTGGATGTGCAAGAGGAATAGGACGAGGATGAAGAAGGAGGAGGGCAAGGACGACCAGCAGCAGCAGGAGCTGAGTGGAAGGAACGGGAGGAGCAGGAGGACCAGGGGAAAGCGGGGGAGGGAGAATGAGGGAGGGGTTAGCAATGAAACAGAACGTGGATCCAGAAAAGTGGCCCGCGTTGGGGCGAAAGCGCCATCCTGAAAGACGGGAGCAAAGCGCCGATCCGAAAACGAGGCCCACGCTGCAGCCGGAGCGCCACTCACCGAAAACAATCGGATTGTAAACAAAAGTAAGAACTAACAATTTCTGAAGTCATGGATGTAGAAGGGACGCGGATATTGTCGAACATCTTCTGGACAGCATCAGGGGAGAGAGGAGAGTAGTATTCATATTGTGCAAGTGCGGAGGAAGGCGGAACAGGAGGAGGAAAACCAGAGTGAAAAGGGGACAGGGGGAGGGGAGCAGTGCAAGAGGACGGGAGGAGGAGGCGGAGGAGGAGGAGGAGGGAGGAAGTCGGGGATGGCCAGGAGACCGATGGTGGAGGAGGAGGCGGAGGAGGAGGAGAGAGGAGGAGCGAGGACAGGTGCAGGAGCAGACCTCCCCGAAAGTTTTCGAGCCAGTGTTGTCATCTGTCGTTTCTGCCATTCCCTCCATGTCTGCCCCCGCTCTGTTTCCACCCATCTTCTGCTGTTACTCATATCCTGATCCTCCCCTTGCTGGCGACACCTCGTCCCAGTCGTGTGGCTGCACACTGGCTGCGCTTGTCCTCCTCTCCCTGGTCCACCACCGCTGGGTGAGAATTGCCATGCTAAGGACCCGTCGTCGTCGCCAGTGGGGAAGCAGAACTAAGAATGGGCAACGCGTGGCGCAATCTGTGTTCCAATCGACTCCCGTGTCTTCCTTGGATCTTGGTTCACTTTTTCGCGTCATCCCAGTGTTCTTTCGTCAGTGGTGATCGGCTCGTGTTATCTGGCGTCTGACTACCGCCTCTGAAGGCGGCCTCCGCAGCAGTTAGTGGGCCAGAGCCTAACGTTCCGCCCTTAGCTTGGCCACCCGGCGACAGATACATTGTCCCTCAGGCGAAAAATATCACAGATCCCCCGACACCTTTATTACAATAAGATCTGGAACGTTGGTAGTGGTGGGTTATCCAGCATCGTTGAATATGCCGACTGATTAGTTTCTGAGCGGTTGGTTGCATTCCATCTTGCAGGTGTGCGGTGGTAGAGCTTGTGGGGTTGCAAGATATGGAGTGAGCCCGCATCGCATTCCAACTGGCATCGCAAGTCTGCTTCACCTGCGCCTCGCACGAAGTCAAAATTATGCTGAATTGGAATCGCGAATACATATACAACAACTGAATGAGCCCGCGGTGACCACAGGTAGGGCGTTCTTCTATTGAAAGCAGGTGCCGAAGCATACAGAGTGCTCATTTCTACTTCGTGTGCTGCACGTGGCCTCCGCCGCCCCTTCGGCGCGCTTCATTTCTAATTCGTGGCCGGAATTGCAAATGACCAGAATTAGACATGAACGCGCTTGTTAGGCCCCGGAGGCCCCAGGGCAAATGCATTCGAGCGCGCGCCCGAGTCTGGATCTGGGGCGCGCCATCCTCGATCGGGCACGCGTAGACGTGACGCGCAAATCCTGCGTGTCGCGCACACGTGACGCGCAAAATCCGCGTGTCACACGGAGCGCGCTTGGGGCGGGACACGCAGAATCAGGGGGCGGACACGCAAAATCTGCGTGTCGCACGCCGGGGGTGTCCGGGGGCCGGGGTGGGGACACGCAGAAATCTGCGTGCCACGCGGGCCCCACCAGGGGGGCGATCACGCAAAATCTGCGTGTCGCACGCCAAGGGTCCTGGGGGCCGGGGTGGGGACACGCAGAATCTGCGTGTCACGCGGGCCCAAAATCTGCGCGTCGCACGCGGGGGGTCTGGGGGCCGGGGTGGGGACACGCAGAATCTGCGTCTCACGCGGGCCCCACCAGGGGGGCGGACACGCAAAATCTGCGTGTCGCACGCCGGGGGTCCGGGGGCCGGGGTGGGGACACGCAGAATCTGCGTCTCACGTGGGCCCCAGGGGGGCGGACACGTAAAATCTGCGTGTCGCGCGATGGGTGCCCCGGGGGCCGGGGTCGGGACACGCAGAATCTGCGTGTCACGCGGGCCCCAGCAGGAGGGGGCCAAGGGCCGGGGACCGTGGCGCTCCCGGAGGTCCAGAGGCTGGGGGCCAGGGCCGGGACATGCAGAATCTGCGTGTCACCTCGAGAACGCCGCGCAGGGACACGCAGAATTTGCGTGTCACGGAGGCATTCGCGTTTGCGCGACACGCGAAGCCTGCGTGTCAGTCACTCGGCGGCTTTGAGGCTTCAGACTGACGTGACACGGAACGCGCTCGGGGCGGCGTCGCGTAAGTAAACGTGACACGCAAATCCTGCGTGTCACCTGGAACGCGCTCGGGGCGGCCGGGCGACGCGACACGCAGGATTTGCGTGTCGCGTAGACGTGACACGCAAATCCTGCGTGTCACACCGAACGGCGACGACGTTGTTGTTGCCGTTTATCTTTTGATCTTTAACGAACGTAAGCAGAAGCTGCGCCCTGACGCTTTGGAGACACGTTGGGCGTAGCGCTTGAGCACATGCCTTCCCGTCGGCACCTCTCACTTGCAATTCGTGGCCGGAATTGGAAATGACCGGAATTACAAATGACCGGAATTACAAATGAGTGCTCTGTATCTGAAACGCAATAAAATAATCAAAATATACCACGAAGATAACACATGCCATTGAAGAGTGCCTTGCGCTTTGAGCAACTCTAAATATAATTCGCAATCTCAGCCATGCAATGTACATCTATTCAAACTCAAGCAGATGAGATGCAACGCTATCCGTTGCAAAGAAAAACAGGCCAATGCAAGCAATGCAATACGAAGCAACGGAATACATTGCAATGCGAAGCAAAACTGTATAAAGCAATGCAAACACAATTGCAATGCCAGCGCAACGCAAGGTAAACGCCATGGTTCACAGTGAGAAGCAATTCAAGTGCAATGATGATACACACGCAATGGTAATGCACAGCAGCTCAAAGCAATGTAGCACCGTGCCAAGCAATGCAGAGCAACCCCAGGAATCCAAGGAACCCGTGGCACCCCTCAGTGAACTCAACGGAATGTGGGTGGAGAGCGCCAAAGCCACCGGACCACTCGCACAGAAAAGCGAGGAGACGTTTTGGCAGAGCCTACTTGAGGGGAATAGGGCCCCCGATGTCCCCGAGAAAACCTTGAAGACGGTCCGTAGCCGTTTTGGCCCACGTTGTTCGCCCGAGCGATTTACGCTCAAGCCGGTGCATTCAAAGAGTGCCGCGGCAGTAGGTAACATTTTGACATAATCTTGGCCAGATCGACAGCAATGGGGCCTGGCGTCATGTGTTGGGGTCGTCGTCGCTCAGCTTGCTAATTCGCTGGCCTCCTTGGTTCGGTTCTCTGTACGCTGCCGACAGGGCATCGGTTACACGTACTGGCACAACTACGGTCATACGTGGTCGGGTTTGCAAGTATGCATTTGGTCTGGGCTAAGTGGCCGTCTCCTGGCTTATCGTGGTTTCAAGTTATGACGCCAGTTTGGGCCAGCACTGCGCCGCTTAGCCCATCCGCGGCCAGTTCAGCTCGGCTCATTGTTGTTTGGCTTTGTTCGTTTGAGCTCCGAACATAGCTATCCCATCAGCCTGTATTCGATGTGATAACTGTCTGGTTTGGTACCTGATGCTTTCCATGAGCGCACCTTTGCAGCTGTTTTTGCAGGTCCTGCTTCTTCGGGCGATTACTCGCCCGCACCATTGGAAGCTACGACGCGTAGTAGTCTGTAATTTGCCATTGCAGGTTATCATTTAATGCGTGTACTATTTCCACCCTGTCCCCCCCCCCCATCCATTATCATTGCTTTTCTTGTCCTGTAGTCGCAGCTCCATTGTTTAAGGAGTGTATGTGCTCCCGCTGTCTTGCGACGACGCTCTCTCACGGGCTCTTCCCCACCTTCACCCGTGGAGCCCGCGCGTCTGATTCTTCCCAGGGTTACGACTTGTCCAGCCTTTGCTTTGGATTTGTTTTTGAAGAAGAATAGGCCCTACCCCATGTATCCCTTCGGGCATTGCAATGGAGATATGTGGTTATGTCCACTCGTTATCACGCGAAATCACACAATTCCAGGAGGCTGGTATCGAGATCCTTCTCATCTCTGTCAAGTAATAGCATGCGCTCACACTACTTACTCTGGAAGGGTCAGTTTGATGCATGCTTGTGCCAAACAATAGCCACACGCGCGCGCGCATGTCGAAATCATACCAAACACCTTAGTTACGCAGGCATTTCAACATACCAGATTTTACCTTACAGAATGGGTTCCATCACATTGATTGCAGACATGTTGGCCCGCGCGCACTTTCTGTAATCGTGAGAAACCCAGGTGGTGTTTGCAATTTCGTCCAGGCTCGCATTCTCGTCTTACCCATGTGGTGCATCCGCGTTGATATAGCATGCGCCGAGCGCACGTGTCGAAATCCGTACGAAGCTATTGGCTTCAGAAGCATGTCGAGGAAGAGTTCTTCTGTAACATACAAAAGACCGCGTGTTTCTCAACAAACCGTTTGATTGGTTTCTTGAATCGTTGCGCACACACTTCTTCTCATCACCTTCATCATCGCCATCGCATCACCGCCGTTATCGTCATCGCCAACCACGGTCATTGCCGCCATCATCAACACATTCATTTGCATCACCGACACATTGACGTCATCACCGCCACCTTCTTCACCAGCATCGGCGCCGTCATTGGTGTTGTCGTCATCATCGTAATCATCACTTTCTCCATCGGTATTATCATCAACGTTGCCGCCTTTGTCGACGCCGCCATCATATCGCTCCTGCCCAGGTCGTCGACCCACACTGAAATGCTCTCGCGCCAGCGCGACTTTGAAGACGCGCTCGGAAATTCGAATCGGTGAGCACCATCGCGGCCCAAACTGTTGTGCCGAAACAGCTTGGCGATCTGCGCGGGAACGTGCGCACGCAACTGCGGCCGCATAGATGAGCTAGCAATTGTTGCCGAGAAGGTTATGCCAAACACGATGCGGGTGGAAGGGTGGGATGTTTGCGCGAGCATTGGAGTTGACAATTCGACAACAGTAAGGGTCTTCCACAGTTGCCCGAGGCCAGCAGTCTGCGCTTCAAACAATGTTCCACCGATAGCCGTGACCCGCATCCGGCGGAGATGATGGCACGATTTGACGTTTTCGAGGTGGGCAGACAGACGCGATGGTGTTGGGAGGTAGTAGTGGTAAGGCGCGGCGGATGTTGGCAAGGCGCGCAGGGGCTGGGACATTCGCGTAAGCGGCTGTGCGTGATTGCGTTGCTTTTCGCCCGAGGGAATGAGAGCGAAGGAAATGAATTCTAAGGAATTGCTCGCATCACCGCGGCGTGTGGAAGGAGATAATGGTGGAGACGTTGGCATGCACGCCCAGCCGATTCAGTCAGCAAGTTGAACAAAGTCGGTAGGTGACAGCCATGAGCGAGGTCATTGCACATTTCCCCCCGTTGTTCGGTTAAGGTGTTCTCCATACCGCTCACCCTCGGCATGAACGACACCTCGGCATGAGCGACATCGCAAGTCAAGCATTAGAGCGATTCCTTCTTGCTGTGGTATGAAGGCGGCGGTTTGTTGTGTTTTCTGTTTGTCGGGCCGGGTAGAGCGCATGTGGTCCAAGCGAGTGGCATCGTTGATTTGATTTGAGATGATCACGTGTGCCCGGCAATGTGACATTACCACACTAGATCTATTGGACGGGTAATAGTTGGCGTTGTACGTGTTGCATGTTCTTTCGGAACGCAAGTCGTCGCAGCATGTGTTTGCAGCGTTTCAAGTTGCAAGCCCTTGGCGTTAATTATCAGGCAAGGTTGTGACGGTTGAGCCGTTGCTTTTGAATCTACAGCGCGGGTTCGATGTCATTCCGCTATGCGTGTTTATCATATTCGATGTGTTTGTTACCGGAAGTTGATGCACTTCGTATGCCGTTGCCGTTCCAATATTCAACACGGTAAGGTTGCATTTGTTTCCGCATATGTGTACATATTCATGTCAGTGGTGTATGTAATTCCGCCGATGTTCAGAAGAGGATGTGCGTTGTGCCCAAATTCGTATGTTTGATTGACATGTTCCGACTTGTTGTCTGCGTGGAGTTAGTGAACTCTCATTGAATGAACAATATAAATTGGTTGCTCCCTCCAGTACACGTTGAAGTCGTCCCAACCCTCCTGTGTTGACTTTTCCTTTTGAATAAAGCACCTTGGTCTCCAAGCACCTCCCTTTCCTCCCCCCTTTTCCTCCTGCCGCCTTGCCTCCCTCATCCTCCGTCGTCTGGATTTCTCGGGAGGCTCGGCGTGATTGGGGCACTGCGAACTGCGCAATTGTCGCCATCTTCGTCGGCTTCTGGGAGGCACGGCTAGCTAGAGGATACGCAGACCCAGCCGAGGCTTCCCAGTTCCTTGGGGGGAGTGCGCTTTGCGCGAGTGTCGCCACTCTCGTGGGCGTGTGGGAGGCCCAGCGGAGTGGGGGAGCACGCAGACCCAGGCCGAGGCTTCGCAGCTCCCCAGGGGGGTGCGATTCGCGCGCTCGCCACCACCGTCGTGGGCTCCTGTGGAGCACGGCGGAGCAGGGCAGCACGCAGGACCCGGCCCCCCGAGGGGGCTGCGAAGTGCGCAGTTGTCGCCATTTTGGTGGGCTCCCAGGAGGCCCAGCGGAGTGGGGGAGTGCGCAGGCCCGGCCGAGACTTCGCGGCTCCCCGGGCAGGAGCGACCTGCGCAGGCGTCGCCGTTTTCGTGGGCGCTTGGGAGGCCCAGCGGGTCAGATTGTCTTCGCGACGTGTTCTTTTGTATGTGGAGCGTTCGTTCAAATGGGCGACTCGCGTGGAGAAGGGGCAGGGTGCGTCTCGAGTGATTCAGTTGAAGTGCCCCTCCCGGAGCTCGCACCTTGCTTTTTGCAGGGGGGAAGTACTGAGTCTCAGAATGGGTTGTTGCCCCCCGAACGACAGCAGCACCCACAATAACAACGATTATGCTAAGATTGTTCGTTCCTATCTGCTCGCGTCTCTTCGTCTTCGATACCCGCCCTCTTCGTCTTCGATCGTGGGCGAAAGTAGTGTCCCATGCTCCAGCGTACTGCTGCGTGCCTCTGGCAAGCTCCAGGTCCCAGCTCTGCCCTTCACGGACCCAGGACGGGAGATCCGAGACGAACACGTTCAAGCCAGGGTTGACCCTACACGCGTGAAGGGCGGCCGTGCGCTGAGCTCTTCCCAATGCTCGGACGGGCCCAGCACTGGAGAGAGAGGGCCGCGCCGAGCTGCACGATGGCCCGGCCTGCCCTGGGCACTTCGGGCACCGAGGATCCTTGGGCCCCGCCGTCCCCCAAAACACCACGGGACCCCAGGTGCCACGCACACCGGCCCACTCCCAGGCCTCAGGGGGACCTTTGCGGGCGGGCAGAGACGCCGACAGCCCGGGACTGGCACAGCTAGCGTTTCACGCGCGATAATCCAGGCGCCCTGGCGGGTGGCGCGCGGCGAGTGCGCGCAGCGCTTCACGATGCGATTGAAATTGCTCGTCTGCCGACGCCTCACAATCGACCAACACGCCTTGTCGATCAGGCTCGAGAAGCGCTGAGCAATCTATCCACACGTGCCCATGGCTGCCGTCTGGTGCCCCTACACGCGTTGCAGGCCAGCACGATGTGCTCGTCCCACGCCGCCAGCCTCGCCGCGGTGGGATGCTTGTCGCCGCAGAGCGCCCGCAGGGCTCTGGTCTGCTACGACGAGAGCTCCTTCAAGCCGTTGCGCAGTGCCCTCTCCCACGCGTCGTCGGCGGCATCCTCGACTTGCGGCAACGCACCGATCAGCTTTGGCATCTGCCATCTCTGCACACCAGCCTCGAGGAGATGCTTTGTGGCAGCTGGGGCAACCTGCAATAGATCGTGAAGTCCGCCCACGTCGCCTCGCCAACGCGTCTGAGGGTGAGGCAGCATGCCGCCAAGAGCCCGCATGTTCCTGCCCAGGCGAGGCCCGACTTTACATGATGCGGTGCCAGATCCACCCAGGCATGGCGAACATGGCTTGGAAGTACACGTTCATCTTCCCAAAAAACGATGGAATCGACATACTCAAAGTCGTGGCATCGGACATCAGATCATACCGCAACTGCCACTGACAATGTCAATATGGTGGATTCGATGCTCTGGCAGGGGCCCCGACCAAGGTAGCCACGATGGACCTCGTCTGTCTGAGAACCTCGTCCGACGTGCCTGAAACGTTTGTACCATGGCCGACCGGTGGCTGCGATGCCGATCGCCATAGGATGGAAGGTTTCTTGCCAGCAACTATTGCAAACATGGGTAGGCGTTGTTTCCTTGCCTTGAGCTGTGCAAGCCTGGTCTGCTCCTGGTTCTTGCAAGAACGTACTCCAAAGGTCTCATGCCCTAGGTTCCGCATCCAGTCTCGCAGCGGCAGCCGACCCTTCAGGCGCTTGAGCACCTTGCGTGTAGGATCCGTCGCCGTCACCACTCCCGACTTTCCCAGAGTGAAGCGAGATCCGAGGATGCATGAGCCGTCCTGAAAAAAATCGCACTGCGTTGCCAAGATGTCGTAGCCTGTCAGGGTTTGGACCAGCATATTTGATGGACACGGCATCCACCGAGGCCCTTGGACACGACTTACGGACGCCTCCTTCGTGCGCATCAATGTTCTCAAGGTGAGTTGCTACAGCATGCAACACGCATGGGTTCAGCCCGCTAGCAGCCCCTGCTCCGTGTGAACGGCGTCCGATCAAGAGCCATAACCTTTCACATGGCATCTTGTTCTGCCTTATGGACATCCACAACTTTCTCGGCGAATAGCCCCAGTGCTTCCCCGCCTCGGACAGCTGAGACGGCCTCACCAGGTCGAGGGCCTTCGTGAGATCCACGATGGCCGTCGCCACGAAGTGTCCTTTCAACACCGCAATATCCGCCTCCAGGCTGTGGGAGAAGGCGCTGTCGCTAGATGTATATCGGCCCCGATTACCCCACACCTCCTCGCAGCGGTGAGCTTCCGACCAAGCAGCAGACGTCGGGCGTCGAAGTCGTCCCCACACGCGGAGGAAATGAGCATGACCGCGACGAGGCGATGCGTTGATTCAGGCTTCGGTGAGGAAGGAGGAGGAGGAGGATAAGGCGAATAAGGAAGAGGAAGAGGAGGGCGAACAGAAAGGCCAGATGCCTCTTGGATGCCTCTCGGAGTCTCCTCAGATGTCTCGAGAGCTTCTTATAGGATTATTGGGGCGTCTGGGGGGGCTTCCCCGCCGAGGCCATCCTGGACGCCCCAACGCGTCGAGAAACCCAGCATCCAAACCTGGGGGGAGGGAGTAGGGGGAGGGGTCAGGACAGCTTCCCGCAAGCAGTCTCGCTCACTCCCACCCGCCCTCACAACACAAAGTAGCACCCGAACCGCGGCATGTTCATCGGTCGTCTTTGGATGGACAGCTAATGGGAACCACAACAAGGCCCATGTGCGCAACGTTCGGGCGAGGTACGCCACGCGTGCCAGGCGCGCTACGCCCGCCAGGAACGCCAGCCATCCCTGTGGCCCAAGCGTGCCAGGTGCGCCTCATGCCCTAGATGTGCCACGTGATCCACGCGCGCCATGTGTGCCGCATGCTCCAGCCGCGCCAGGTGCGCCACGTTCGGGGCACGCGCAGATTGTGCCAGGTGCGCCTGCGCACGTGGCAGTACACATCGGGAAACGTGTCGGCCCCTACCACCCTGGTCGACAACCAGTGCACAATCGCGGCGGGGTGGCCATCATAGTGTCTGGTGGGTTTTCACACAGCAGGCAATATGCCAGCACCCCCGCCGTCCCAGTCAAAAACCAATGCACAGTGATCGCAGGATGCCCAGCATGATCCAGATTTTGCTTCGAAGTGCATCTTGTATTGCCCCTGAACACAGCAGTTGTTCTACATTTCCCCAGCGCGCAGCATTGTGCTTGCAGTGCATTTTGTTTTTGACAGTAATGTTGGCCTTGCGCGCTGCAGGCAATATGAGGACACCCACTCCATCCTGTTCAAAAAACTATATGCTCGCAGCCCACCAAATCATGACCCAAAAGTATGCCCAAAAGTTGATATTCACATTGTTTTTGACAGCGATGGTTGGGAGGGGTTCTCATTGATCCTGGTTGGCTGCCGGTCGCCTGGGGGAGGGGGTGTTTCTTTCTGTAGAACAATGAGAATGCCTCCCCGAAATGGAAGAGGGAAGCTGGAAGAAGAAACCCGCTAAACCACCCACGCCCAGAGGGCTGGTGGGATCTGTTCTTGCTTAGCGAGAATCCGCATAACCCGTGCCTGCACGCTTCCGTAGCAACGCATCCAGATTGTAACAACAAGCGGTCAACCCATTGCCGTGTTCTTTACACTCGTTGGATTTGCAACATCGCGAGACCCGACGCACGCAGGACGTTGATCCGGTGCTTGCACGATCGAGCATGCATAATGATAATGATATGTATGTACGAAAATAAATACACTGACGTACACTTACAAATATACATATATATACATATACATATATATATA